TTGGAGGACTATCTCAGAAGATTTTGTGAAATAAGCATGATTCATTCATTCATTTAATGAGATAGGGTCTCACTGTATACCCCAGGCTAGCCTTGAACTAATAATCCTGCTTCAGCCTCCCTGGTGCTGGGATTACAGGTATGTATCACTATGACCTGCTTGGCCTTTATTTGATTTAAATGTTTCATTATTTATATTTTCAATAGATAATACTTTCTACTAATTTAAATTCAAAAGCTATACAAGAGCATATTGTAAAGTTTCTAGTTCTATCTCGTTCTTTATCCACTCATACGTGCTCCTGTGATGTAACAAACGTTATTTTATGTACCTTATGAATACAGAAGTAAACACCCTCATATATGTGCCTCCCTATAGATTTATTTCAAAAGCCCCAGAACTGATACAGTTAGAACCAAGACTTCAAATACTGAACTTTTTTCCCCTATCAAAACAAGGTATTCTTCCAAGTACGCCCAAAAACAGAATAGAGAAGACTGATAATAATGAGACTTTTTCCATTCCAACATTGCTTAGAAATTGTTATCAAGTCTCCTTCTGACCTGTTTTTCTGATAAGCACAGAGACTTGTAAGGGAGGGGACATTGATATATAACATTGACAGAAATATGAAACCTCTATAACTTAAATCTTTTTTCATTTTCTCCAGGATTCTAGCTTCACTGTACTAGCTACTCCGTGGACTTTTTCTTGAAGTATCAATATGGAGAAATGAAAATACTCCCAAATAACTTAAAAATACTCAAAAAGTCTCACAGGAACACACACACAAGATTAAGGTTGCATAGTCTGGTATGGTGGGGTACACTTGGAAGGCTGGGGGAGGAGGATTATGAGTTCCAGGCTAGTCTGGGCTACAGAGCAAGATTCTGTTTCAAAACAAGCAACCCTCAAAACAAACAAACAAACAAAAACCAAAACAACAAAACAAAGATTAAGGTTGCCTACACTTGGCCCAGTCAGTCTTATTTATAATACATTTACACATATTGGAAAGAAGGGAAACCTTTGCAGTAAGGAAAAATATTTGTCCACAATCTTCCTGTGATACTTTTTCTGGGTACAGACCTCACCCACTCCAGCCATAGGGGTTGTCATTAGATTAAAGGGGCCAAATACAGCATCTCCTGTTTCCTTGACCACAGGGACTGGGTAATGAACCAGTATAAATCAGATTCTCTCCATTATGACTTTTTCATATTGAAGCTGGAAGAGTCAGTTTTTTCTGCTGCTTATAGAGTGGTTAGGATGTGAGCCTAGAGCTGCCCATAGCAATATCCCCTATCTTGTGGAGAAGCCAATCATCTACGGGGTCTCTGACCAGCAAAACAGATTCAAGATGAGAGATTCTTATTCTTCTTTACAAGCCTGACTCCACTCTCCCTGGTTATGCATCAACTAACATCCTCTTTAGTTTATCTAGTTGAACAGAAATTCTTGTCACCTGCTACTATCTACTTAGCTCCACTTCCATATACATACATATACATGCTTGTTAGGTATCTCCTTCTGGGTGTTTCCCTGGTACTTCAAATTCATATTTATAGTACAATGTGTCTTTCCTCCCCTCTGCACTCCACCTGTCCCATTGCCTGTATTCTTTCATCCTAATTATCTGTATCTACCCAGCACTCAAGCCAGAAATGTATAGCTGTCCAAGACTTCTTCCTTTCTACCTAATCCCCATGTCTCAAGATGTAACAGGTCTGTAGGTGCTGTTTCTCCTCTTAAATATCTGTACCTTTGACACCTTGTTTTGTTTTCATCCTTCCCTTACTGTACTGAAAAACCAAATCTCAGAACCTTACCCGGCCAAGGCCTTGGTTGAATAAGGTTCGTATCCCCTTCTGAAAAGAGTTCTGGCTCTAGATGACTGGTTCAGAGGGGTCACTGTAAAGGCTGGTCAGGAGCATATATAAGAACAGTGCAAGAAAATTCTCCCAAATAGTAATTACACCAACCAGGTCCTCATCTATGAGGAAATCTATGTCTCAGACACAAAGACAACTACTTAGTTGGTTTTAAGACAGAAGTTGAAGACATACAGAGAAGGCAAGGGTGATGACAAGGGGACTGCAGTCTTCAGTACACAAAAAATGAGTAAGCACAAGCTGTAAGTAATCAAAAACCACTGGGTATATCGAATGGAGTGTAGAAACAGAGGAATTAAATTACTATAAAGGTAGGAGACAAACTCTTGCTACTGGGACAACAAAGTAATACTAGAATGGCCCTGGAACTTGACCTGCACGCCATTCTGAGTAGTGAGATGAAACTACATGCTGTCCTGCTGTGTTCTGTCCAGGACATGAGTCATCCTTCATCAAGCTTATTCACACTCTTCTCTATATGCCTGTTGGTCACTTAGCATGCTCTTGGTTTTCAGATTTACCCTCACAGTATTGCAGTGATTGTGTTCAGGTAACCTTTATTTTACTCAATAATGGCCACAAAGCATATAAGAGTAGTGATGCTGGCAATTTAGATATGCCAAAGAGAAACTGTAAAGTGCTTTTTGTAAGTGAAAAGGTGAAAGTACAATCAGGTAGATAGAGAACTTATACATAACTTTCTTACAGTACCTTGGTATAGTTCTATTACATTTGTCATTGTAGTTAATCTGTTACTGTGCTTAATTTATAAATTATACTTTATTATAGATACGTATACATAGGCAAAAAGTATAGATAGGACTTGATACTGCCTGCAATTTGAGGCATCACTGGAGGTACTAAAATATATCCCCAATAATAACAGGGAGCTACTGTACTCCAGCCTGTGTGAAGCTCAGCTGGGTGACAATGCATTGGTTCCTGGGTGATTTCTACATTCCCAGGAGATTCTTGTTATCTCTATGACCTCAACCACAAATACCATACATTCTAGTCATATAAATTAGTTCCTCAACTATGGCATGTTCTGCTATATCTGTTTATGTATATGAATTTAACTTCCTTTAATTGGCACAATTCTTCCCATCTCCCAGTTTGGCTACCAATTACTCATCTTTCCAGACTGAGCTCAGGCTTCTCTTAGCAGTCTTCTGTAACCCAACCATGTTAGATACTCTTCCTTTACTCCAAACAAACCTAATGGCACTATACATTGTGTGTCTCTGAGCTTATTTTGAGAACAGAGATGTTGCTCCGTCAAGTGCCTGGCTCAGTACCTGGCACAAAGTGTTTAATGTATGCCATTGATTTTGTTAAAGCTCTGTTGCTACTGTTTCAGTGACCAATAAATCTAACAGCTTTCCATCCTCATCCCTTTTGAAAGATCCACTTGTAGTGTGCATGTGAAGCAGGTCATGGTACTATAAAAAGACGACTCCACAGATTTTACATGAGATTTCTTCAGCTCAGAATGCCCCTCCCCCTTTTATCTCAGTTCCCCGAGATTTAAAGGTTATTGCACTATTTCAACTAACAGGGGATGATGGCCTGGATTAAGGAGTTCTGGTGGAGAAAGATGTAGTAATAAATTCTGGACAGGGAATAGGCAGGCGAAGATTTGGATGTGAGAAAAAGGAGGGAGGAAAATCAAGAATGACTTCTGGGTTTTCTGATTTGGCCAGGTGAATGGTATTTTCATCCAAATATATGGGAAAGAATGGAAGAGTATCAAGTTAAGAGGTAAGCCAACCATCCACATATTCAAAACAGATTTCTTCTTTTTTTTTTTGGTGGGACAGGAATTTGAACTCAGGATTTCACACTTGCAAAGCACATGCTCTACTGCTTGAGCCACACCTCCACTCCATTTTGCTCTTGTTATTTTGGAAATGGGGTCTCACAAACTCTTTGTCCAGATTGGTCTCAAATCATGATCTTCCCAATCTCAGTCTTGAGTATTTTGAGCTAGGGTCTCATGAACTATTTGCAAGGGCTGACCTCACACAGCAGCCCTCCTGGATCTCTGCCTACTGAGTAGTTAGGATTACAGTTGTCAGCTATGAGTGCCTGGCTCTTCTTGTGGTTTTTAATAATGGCCATTCTAATGGGCATGAAGTTGTACCTCATGGTTTTGATTTACATTTCTCTAATGATTAGTAATGCTGAATATCTTTTCATGTGATTACTGGCCATTTTCATATCTTCTTTGGAGAAATGTCAAATATTTTTAGGTTTTTTGATTTTCTGTTGTTGAGTAATATGAAATAGTTCTGGGTATACAACAGATCTCCATGGCATGAGAATAAGTATATTAGATGGCATGAAAATGGTAGGGACTTTGGGACAAGAGGCAGTCAAAAAAAATTTTTCAAAATTTGAAATCTTACTTTTAGGGAAGAATAAGGAAAAGTACACTTTTAGATTCTGACCTTTTATGTTAGTTCTTGTGTGTTAACTGAGTGAGCAACCCCGTGGACCTAATGACTTAAGAGCATTGCTAACGTTAGAATGACGCCCTGATTTATGATACTCTAATTAATTTGTAGTATATACTTCATATATAAGCTGGAGACTTCTTATATACTAACATCTAAACTTGAAAAGTATAGTGTTTGCACTAATGGGCTTACAAAAATAATCATTGATCATATAATACTATCTGCTTAATTTAATATTTTTCAATTACTTAAAATTGATTTACACGAATCATTTGTGGGATGCTATAAGAAAATACACGATACAGAAGTAAAGAATCAAAACTTAGTCATGATACAATTGATGGAAACATGAGGATAAATCTGGTATCTACAGATATAGACAAGGGTTGAATAAAAGAAAGGAGTATGTAGATATCTGTGCTGTTAACTGAAGCAACTAAAGAAAACATTATTTCCCATTGGAAATAGATAACTATTCTCCAAGAGTAACATATGGTTTAAATTATGCACATTATTTTATAGTAACTATTTTACTTAATCCATAGAAAACTGATAAAACTGTTGGAGTCTGAATTTTTTGAAAAAAGGTGTAAGACCAACCTATACTGTAATTCATATATGTTAGTAGATGACATTGTCTTAAAGTATATCTAGGGTTAGTTGCAAAGTTCTACATACTATATTCGCTATAAATTATCCATAGCCAAGAAAACACACCATCTTTTTACAGCAAAGCAAAGCTTCCATTGATCTGAAACTAAAGTACAGCTTTCCATTTCTTGTCAAGATCTGTGTTGCTAACTGTGGAGAGAAAAATCAGAGGGTGGAAACAAAAGATAAATTAATGCACTGGATTTTAAGTTCTCTTATGGCTAGAAGCATGCATCTAAAAATTGATTTTGTTGACTAATATAGTTTTTTTTTGGTACATGTAAACACACTGCTGAGGCTTCTACACCAAATTCATGCTTTGAAGAACTTCTTGATTTTAAGGACTAAATTTCTATAAAGATGGCTGATTTCACAAATTAACCTAACACTAGTAAATAATTGAAGAATTACTACTTCAGTATCTCTGACTTTACTGACTTACCACTGCTTAAATAAAACCTGTGCCTATTTCCAAATCTTATACATGTAAGAGTCATTCTGGCCTTGGGGTCTAGAATACAAACTACTCTCCAGATCACACTGTTGAGTGTCATTACGTTGGGTGAAGACTGGAATTCTGCATGGGATTCTAATTCCTCTGGGAGCTTTTGGTTGCAATTTGTGGTCAACTGGCTCTGTGCTGCACACCTTCCCAGTCCCTGTCTAACTGAATGTGATATTCAAGGGACAACTTTGATGGATGCTGTTTTTCCAAAAAGGGAATGAGTACATGTGTAAAAATATTTTAAATGCTAGTAGTAAAAGAACTTAAATTTGCAATTATACTTACTTATTTTTCCTTCTTTTTCTAGTTTTCTCAAATGAAGCAAGAGGTTACGCTCAGCCATTTTATGTAAATGCTCAGGAACATCCTAAGGGGAATAAGGAGAAGAAAAGCATTAAAAACCTTAATTTTTGAAACCTTTAAAGAAAAACAAATATACAACCAAAAAAATTTAACTTAAATACAATTTTTATTTAGCAGAGGAAAGAGATTTATTATGGCATGGACAGCTGAGAGAACAGGCAAAGTTTAGGACTTCAGCCTATATTCTGCCAATTTGAGGGTACAGATATAAGCATTAGGATTAAATAGAAAAGGAATTAAGACAGGGGGAAAATGTACACATAGTTTACATTTACAGTCCTAGTTATAAAGTGTGTTCAGGTGTGTTCATTATCTCAGTCCTTGTTTTGGGAGAAGTTATCACTGCTGTGATAGCAATCTGGTCAGGATAAACAAGTCATTGTTGCTGGGTGGTCTTATCCTGAGGAGTCTCTGCTGAACCTCCCTTGGCAGAGGTTTTCCTCCACCTCTCTTTGTAAACATGTTATCAATCAATCCTGTCCTTCCTGACTGCAAAGTTAATACAGAGAGAACAGCTCAGAGCAAAGAATACAAGCACAAAATGGAGACAGAGATGCCAAGTTTCTCTTCTGCTCTTAGTAATTTGTGGGCCCAAGTAAGGAGTCAGTGCTTTTCAGCAAAAGGAGCTTAAGTAAGCTACTACAATTCCCCCTTGTGTTTGAACATTCCTCAGTCTTGAAGGATTTAGGTTGTTAGTCAATCTGGCTCTGTAAGTTTCTTGGCCAGTGATAAACTAGTACAAGAGAAAGGGGGCAAACAACCCAAGTATGTAAGTCAAAAGAATCATTGCTTAAGCTTAAAACTAGAAACACCATCTTAAAGCAGAACACAAGGTGTAGTACAAGTCAGAAGAAATCAACTAAATAAATTGTGTAGGGGATCATCTTTTAAGTAACTCCATGAGCATGGACTACTAAAAGGATATGTTTGGAGTCAGTAAGAATTGTTGTCTCTATTTAAGAAGGCTTGGGCCAAAAAGTATGAGTTTGCCCTCTGTCAGAGGTATGTTAGGTGGCCATGCTTATGAAACTTTCCTTCAAACCCTCTCGGCTTTGGTTACTTTTGGAAGGGTTGGCCACAAGTGGCTTTGTTTGGATTCTGACAACTTCTCTTCTTGACTTAACAGTTTTCTATGAATATTAAACATATTTTAAAAGAGAAATATCTAAAAAACTTCTTCACTTTGCAGTTGGTCTTACTTTAGGACACTATATTCCTATGTATTCCTATAAATGAAATAGACTGCCATAAAAACAGTAGCAGTGTCTTTTATTCACTACTGAATTTCCAATGTTTAGCATAATGGCACACAATAGAAACTCATTAATATTTATGAGTGAAGGGCTGGGCATAATGGCTCATTTCTGTATCCAGCTTCTCAGAAGGCAAAGATTGGGAGGATAACAGTTGAAGGCAAGCTGGGGCAAAGAGTTAGTGAGACTCTATCTCCATCAATAAGCTGGGTGTGATGATTTGCACCTGTGGTCCCAGCTACAAGGCAGGCCACAGACCTTAATCTTCCTACCTCCGGCAAAATACAAGACCACACTTGAAAAATAATTAAAGCAAAAAAGGGATGGGAGTGTGGCTCAAGTGGTAGAGTACCTGTTTACCAAGCAGAAGGCCTTAAGTTCAAACTTACAGATACCCAAAAAATTATGAATGTAGGAATAAATATAAAAATTATTCTTAGCCAGGTTTTGAACAGACAGTTGGCTCCATGATAATATCTTTATGCCTGTGACTCATTTACTTTTATTAAAATAATATGGTAATTCCTCTTTTTTATTTCTTTAAATGCTCCTGATGAAGCCCATTCCCCAATCCAAGGAGTTGTCTTGAAACCTCTGTTTTATGCCAGTGCTGTTAGGATCCAATCTCTCAAACACAGTGTAAAAGCCTCTCTGACTACAAGCCACCTGCAAGGCAGCCTGTAGGGGACTCTTGCAAGAGCAGGTAGTATCTTGGCCATGGAAGTGACCCCAAATGCATGGTTCCCAGTACTTGATGGGCCGGAGTGTCCTCCTGACCCTCCTCATCTGACACCGAATCAAAATCACCTTCAGACTGAATTTTACTTTTAAGGTGGGGCTGATGGCTCAGCAGCTCCACCACCCACAGCATCTTGTTACTGCCTGTCACACTCCTGTACCACTGGCTATAAGGGATGAGTCCCACATCCTGGCTCGGCTACCAAGGAGGAAAATCTTTTACTTCTTACTTCTATTTCCTTACATTATTATAACATCTATTATCCTATGTTTCTTCTACTGTATTCTACTGCATTTCTTCTTCTACTGTAATTCTTCTACTATATTTTCTATCTTATTTCTACTTCTGTATTTTTTCCTTTTACCTAAACTTCTTTAACATAGTTTTTTAAAAGCCTATATATAGTTTCCCAAGTTTTTACACCTGACTGTATTCAATTCACTCTCCCTCTCACTTTGCTTATTTTTCATTTCTCTATTATGTGTGCACTTCCTAGAGAGTGTCTCCTTGTCTCAGACTTTGAGTCTCCCTGTACTTAGGTCCCTGTTTGGTTGCCACCTGTCTTGCGAGCTTTTCTCACAAGCTCTTGCTCTGCAGACTTAACTGGGGGTGACTGGAGATGCAGAAAGGACAAACGATAGAAGACAACCATGCAGAAAGTTGGGGCAAGGTGTGCTGGGCTCCCTACTTCTCTGAATGTAAACAACTTAGGAAAAGCAGCTGTGCTGCATTTTTGCCTCTTGCTCTCTTCTGAGGCTGGGGCCATGCCAAACTCAGCCTGTAGATTATTGAGCACAACTGTGCTTATGTCAAGTTCTCATAGGCTTCTCATAATCTGCTCCCCACAGGTAATATTGACAAAGTTTATCTGAATGAAAACAAACATTCTTTTTATTCTTTAAATAAGGATTATAGTTTGGAAGCCAAGCTTCTTGACTAAATTCACTATATCTCAATTTCTCAACTCCCTGAAAATATTTTACTAAGATGAGCAAATTACCTCAGTCAAAACTCAATGGATTCTTTCCAGTCTTGCTGTATCTGACATCAACTGGCTAGTCCCTCCCTTTTGAAGACCTCTTCCCTTGCTTATCCCACCTCTTTATTTGTCTTTATTCTGGATATTGATGCTGAGATTTCTCCTAAACACTGATGTTTATAAAGAGTTGAATCATTGACTCTCCTCTCCTTTTTACTCAGCCAGGTGACTGTGATGAGTTCACCGCAGCAATGTCAGGCATTGATGATTCCCAAATCTGAATTCAATCCCTAAAACCCCCTTAGGTGCCAGTACCATACACTATATCCAGAAGTGTGATCTTCTTGATCTCATTATGTGAATTCCTCTGCCAAGATCCTTAAGTAATCTTTGCCAGATAAAGTCCAAATTTTTCAGCTGGCAATGAAATATTTCTGTGATCTGATCATGCCTCCTTTTTCTGCCTTACTTCCTGGGCTCCATTTCTGTCCATCCATTTATGCACTCTGTGTTCCAGTCATATGTGGATTTTCAAACACACAATGATCTTTTATTTTGCCTGGTGTTTGAACACATTCTTCCTTTTGTTTGGAATACTTTACTTTCCCCTCTACACTGGCCTAGAAAATGTCTGCTTCTTCTTCAAGACTGAATTCAGGGAATAAATTTCTGAAGGCTTTCCAGACAAGCCCTTACCCTGCATTTTCAAGTGGCAGAACTGATTTCTACTGCTGTGCCTTGACATACTAGGTACAGAATTTGGATGATGATTGGTGTAGAAAATCCACAAGATTTAAATAATCAAAATGCTCTTAAATCTCAAACCTCTTCATTGTCAGCACTCAAAATGTTTCAGCTATTGGAACACTTAGGGTTTTGAAGCATTTTGGATTAAGGATAGTGTCTGGCATATAGAAATATGCTCAATAAACGGAAACTATTATGGAAGAGCCAGTATTCAAGTATCTGTTGAACATGTTTCCAGTGAGCCATGAATCCCTCGAGGGATCTTTAGTTGTCCTTGAATCTCTGTTATTACTCCAGTGTCGCATTAAAAAATAGTCAATAAATATTGGATTAATAAATCACTCTAGAATACCTAATGTATTAACACTTGCATAGTGAATATGGTCCTGCATACACATGGAATGTGCCTCTGAATATAGAATTGGTATTATTTAGGCCTGGGCAGTTTACTTGACTCATCTGTGATGAGTGTGAGTGAGTCTTGCTATTTGTACTTAGGTTATAAGAAAAAAAACCTATCGCTGTTCCAATGTATAGTTTAGAGAAGCTATACCTCAGTATGAGGAGAAGAAAATGGGCTGTTTCACACAATTTATTTCATTACTATTTTTCCAATGACTTTTTTTCCCTTCTTGGTGGTGCAAGGGATCAACGCAGAGCTTCACACATGCTAGGCAAGTGCTCTACCACTGAGCTACATTCTTAGCCCCACACAATGACATTTTTTATCTTTTAATATTTTAGTCATTCACCCTCTCTTTTAAAACAAAGCACACTGAGTGTGATTTAACTGTTTGTTGATGACACAAGCCTATGGAACATTAAGGGGTCCTTTACTAATTGTAACTGGCCACAAGTTACCTTTAAAAACTCTGCTTTGATAACAACCATATGCATCTGATAGCTATACAGTTTTGGTAGTGGAATTTTTTTTTTTTAAGACAACATCTTGCTATGTAGCCCAGCCCAGGCTGGCCTCAAACTTGTGCTCATCCTGCCTCTGCCTCCTGAGTGATGGGATTAAAGGCATACATCACTGTGCCCAGCAATGGGACTTTTTAAATTTAAATTCAACTTACTCCAAAGCCTACTTTTTTTTTTTTTCCATCCAAAGCCTGTATTTTTAACTGCTCATCCATTCTACCAACATAAGATGTCCATCAGAGGGGACACTCTGAGGTGTGGGGCTCTTTCCCTCCATAGGAAATTACTCATGTTCGTTGGTGGGTATTTTTCCATTGTTAGGCATTGCTACAACTTCTCACTGCCTTCGTCCCTATACTAGTCTGCTGTAGAACACCCCTCTCACTCACTGTAGGCAAGGATGCCAGATGATCAAGATGTCTGGAATAATCTATGTCATTATAAAACACTAGCAGTTCATCCTAAGTAAAGTACATGAGGTTAATGATGGTGCAAGATGGCTACTTTTGTTTTCTATGGACAGTTTTTTTAACTTTAGCATTCTAGAAGGTGAGACTGCTGGTCTCAAGTCTAGACAAGTTGCTTACTTATAAAATTAACAGACTGTTCTAATGTGAAATGTGGTAAGATTACCATATGTTGTCTGTTAAGTAGATTATTTACTCTAGTAAATTGTGGCTATGTACAAATAAATGAAAATTACCTTGTAAATGATTTTTACAAGATCCATTACTGTAAATGATTTTTCAAAGTTCTCATGAAATAAAGTAAGAATTTGTTTTTCTCGGACATTTCTGTGAGAAATATACTGGAGAATTTTAGCTTCCGCATCACGGATTACTGGTCCATGTCCTGAATTGAAATAGTTATAAAAATTACTTCCAATAAATAAAAAAATAAGTATAATCAGAGTCAATTCACTCTATTTAATCGGTTCAGATAATGTATTGAAAAATTACTCTAAATACACAAATACACATTATTTGAAAGTTGTACACATATAAGCGGTTTAAAAATTATGCACAATACCAAAAAACTTTAAAGAACCCTATCAAATAAACTTTATACAAAATGCTGTTGTACACTTAAAATATAAAATAGACTATAACAATAAAATATGCAATAAAAGCAGCAATCACAAAATAACAATAGATAATACATGTAGAGTGCTCACTATGTGCCAGGCACTACTTTACATGATTAAGATACATTATGCTTTCAAGAACCCCATGAAGAAGGTATTAGCCTGAGGCACAGGGAAGATAGACAACCTGCCTATAGTTACCCAGCTAAGAGTGTTGGTAAAGCTGGGATTCTGACTTGGCAGTTTTTAAGCATTCTGTTCTCTCAACCACCACGGTTAAATTTACCTTTAAAAGACTGAAAGATGAGAACACAAAAAGCAGATTTGTGAAAGTGACCAAGATTTACTAACAACTCACAAGAGTCACAGTAGAACATTAAGAATCTCATATCTAAGCTAGTTATTCAGAATTTTTCACAATCCAGATTAAGTTATACTGGAACTTACTTGCTCTTTAAGACAATACAAATTTAACATATTACACAAGTCTGCAAAATGGATGTTTCAAATATCTGAAAGCAAAATATCCAAAAGAAGGCTAACCTACTATCACATAAAGAACACTGGGCTTTGGTTAGACAGAGATTTCCCTTCTTAGCTCTGTGCGGAAATCTGTGACTCTGAGTCTGTTTCTTCAGCTCTGTAACAAGGATACCACTGCCTAGTTCACCTAGTTTTTGCATGCATGACAGCTATAAAGACCCCTTCAAGTACCTGTTGGATAGCAGGCTTTAATATAAGGTAGCTATGGCTACAGAACATAATTTTCTTTTTTTACTCATATGTGCATACAATGTTTGGGTCATCCCCCCACCCCCTTACCCACCCTAACCCCTCACTACCAGGCTGAAACTTTTTGCCCTTATCTCTAATTTTGTTGTAGAGAGAGTATAAGCAATAATAGGAAGGAACAAGGGTTTTTGCTGGTTGAGATAAGGATAGCTATACAGGGAGTTGACTTGCATTGCTTTCCTGTGCATGTGTGTTACCTTCTAAATTAATTCTTCTCGAACTAACCTTTTTGCTAGTTCCTGGTCCCCTTCTCCTATTGGCCTCAGTTGCTTTAAGGTATCTGCTTTAGTTTCTGTGTTGAGGGCAACAAATGCTAGCTAGTTTTTTAGGTGTCTTACCTATCCTCACCCCTCCCTTGTGTGCTCTCGCTTTTATCATGTGCTCATAGTCTAATCCCATTGTTGTGCTTGCCCTTGATCTAATGTCCACATATGAGGGAGAACATAAGATTTTTGGTCTTTTGGGCCAGGCTAACCTCACCCAGAATGATGTTCTCCAATTCCATCCATTTACCAGCGAATGATAACATTTCGTTCTTCTTCATGGCTGCATAAAATTCCATTGTGTATAAATACCACATTTTCTTAATCCATTCGTCAATGGTGGGGCATCTTGGCTGTTTTCATAACTTTGCTATTGTGAATAGTGCCTCAATAAACATGGGTGTGCAGGTGCCTCTGGAGTAACCTGTGTCACAGTCTTTTGGGTATATCCCCAAGAGTGGTATTGCTGGATCATATGGTAGATCAATGTTTAGATTTTTAAGAAGCCTCCAAATTTTTTTTCCAGAGTGGTTGTACTAGTTTACATTCCCATCAGCAGTGTAAGAGGGTTCCTTTTTCCCCACATCCTGGCCAACACCTGTTGTTAGTGGTGTTGCTAATGATGGCTATTCTAACAGGGGTGAGGTGGAATCTTAGTGTGGTTTTAATTTGCATTTCCTTTATTGCTAGAGATGGTGAGCATTTTTTCATGTGTTTTCGCCATTTGAATTTCTTCTTTTGAGAAATTTCTGTTTAGTTCACGTGCCCATTTCTTTATTGGTTCATTAATTTTGGGAGAATTTAGTTTTTTGAGTTCCTTATTCTCGTTATCAGTCCTTTGTCTGATGTGTGGCTTGCAAATATTTTCTCCCACTCTGTGGGTGTTCTCTTCAGTTTAGAGACCATTTCTTTTGTTGAGCAGAAGCTTTTTAGTTTTATGACGTCCCATTTATCTATGCTATCTCTTAATTGCTGAGCTGCTGGGGTTCCATTGAGAAAGTTCTTGCCTCAGAACATATTTTCATATAAATAACTACTGTGCTAGTAATATGCCAGTTTACTGGATTCAAATATTCTAAGAACCTTTTGTAGGCAGTCTTTCATTGGCTTAGCCTGAATGTAAGTACACAGAGCATCTACTCTCTTCTCTTTAAAAACAGCTGTCAGAGTATACTTCTTTATATCATGAAATTAATCTAAATGCCCAGCTTCACAGTGTGCTTCCTAGTCCCTCAGCAGTAGGAATTCCTGAGAGAATGTTAAGTACATCCACAACAGATCTTTCCATGGTTGTTTGGTTAGAAGCAAGTTAGATGGATTTAGAAAATTAAGTAACCTAGTCCCTTTCTTTTTCTGGGTCTTGTTTTTTTTCGTAGCTTTCAAGATGGACAGGAGATTCACATTGTAGAGCAGTACAGTGATATTTGAGATATTAATAACAGGTTTCCTTTTCTGGAGACTTGCAAAATATATACCATTTTACAGATGCCATGGAAACAACTGGTATTTCAATATTGTGAGTTAAGAAACTAAACTTTAGAGGTCAAAAGTTACCCATGGTTGCACAACTGAAATGTGGTTCACAATAAAAATCAAGTTAACTAAAATGATGGTGGCTTATAGAATGAAAAAATTTTCCTGGGGGGAGAAATGACCCAAACACTGTATGCATACATGAATAAAAGAAAAAAAAATTTTCCTGTTCCAGGTCTGGAGGCATGGCTCAAGTGAAAAGCACTTGCATAGCATGCCTGAGGATGTGCGATCAATCCCTAGTACTGCCCCCCCAATTTTTTTTCAGTTCCAATGTAAGCTTATTTCATTTAATGGGTCTATCAGCATCTGTGTAGATATTGAAAAAAAACTCTTTCTTTTTGTTGGCAGTAATGGGCAGGCACCACTGCTTGAGCCACTCCGCCAGTCTTGAAAAAGATGCTCTTTATAAAATATTATTAATGTAACTCTTGGCCTTTTCTTTAAATTTAACTGTATGCCTAGGCAAGACTTAAGGGTATAATTTACAGTAGCAGTGAAAGGCTTCCAGAGTAAGATGACAGATTAGAAGCTTCTTTCATGTGACTTTGTGAATGAGTAGAGTTAAGAGTAACAAAAGATAGACTGTATTCCAAGGAGAGAAGGAGCACTGATAATCAAGAAAGAGATGACAAGGATAGCTGAAGACAAGACATAGAAAAGTAGGAAACAGCTCCCAGCTCCAACCCTGGCTCCCAGGAGGTGGTGGGGAGGGGAAACAGAAGCTGCACAGGGTAAGCCAAGCAGCCCTGGTGACAACAGATTGGCACTCCTACTTGCAGGATAACCCCACAGTTCTTGCAAGCCTGAAAACCAGTGATAATGACTCCTCCCGTGTGGCAGGTTAGCACTGGAGAAGAAATTCATTACATTGCTCCCATATCTTCGAGTGCTATAGGCAGTCGCCATGTTGAGAGGGGGCCTATTTTTGAGACTTGAGTTACTCTGGGGAGTTGAAAATAATTACAAGTAAGGGAGTCTGGAGACACTCTGCCACAGTGTCTGAGTAGAAGATGGCCAAGAGAAGCAGTCAGGGGAGTTAGTCAGCAGAGAAATGGGGCTCTGGAGGGCACAGTGGCTGTTAGCCCCACTCTGTCAATGCATGTGGATTACTATGGAGACAGAGTTATGAGCCCATGGCAAAGTTGATTGTTTGACAACTGGAGCTGCCTCCCTGCCATGTGTGGTTGGCTGCAGGGCAGGACTGAGAGCTTTGAGCCCAGTTCCAGTCACTTGATTTCTGTCTTCTACCTTTCACAGAATGTTTTACTGCTGGGCAGGGTCTGAGAGCACTAAGACCAGCAGTTAAGAGTGCTGGGGTCCTTTGGTTCTCCCTTTAAGTCCAGATCTCAGTGCTCTCTTTGCTTCCCACACATTCCAACATACTTGAGTGACACTCTTCAGCTGGGATGTTTGCTGTCCTTGGATATATAGACTTGGGGGGAGTTCTGGAGCCAGTGGGAATCTGCCCAGCCCACAGGCCATAAAGGTCATTGCAACCAGCAGCAGCTCATAGTATGCAAAGAAGGGAAGCTTCTAAAGTGAATGCAGGGTATGTTGAGGCTGACAATATATGCTTCTTGACCAGCTGGGCCCTCAGCTTGCACAGTAGGAACTATGACAGACTGTTGCTATTATTCACTATGCCTTTCTCCCCTCCCTGGCAGAATCCAGTATTAGAGGTCCAGGAGTGAAAGCTCTCCAAATTCTTTTTAAATTAAATTTTTTGTTACTATATTTTATTTTATTTATTTACTATTACCTTTACCTTTATTAATTTTTACCTTCACAGTTTATTCTACATTACTTTTGCCAATTTTCTATGGTTAACTGTATTTCTGTGTCTGGTTGTGTTGTTGCTGTTACAGCAGTTTCTTTTTACCTTCTCTCAGAATGGTACTGGGGAGTGAGTCCTTCAGAGAACACTGCTCACTAAAAAAGACTCTCATGTAAAACTGAGAAAAGATATTCAACCTCACATATGCAAACTCTTTAATAAATGAAATAATAAAAGAAAGTGAAATGGTTAAAATGCCAAAGAATTAAGAAGTCTAATTTAAAAAATGACCAATGACTTCAGAGGATGCAAATAAACAGATGAATGAAGTAAAGAAATCAATTTAAGACTTGGAGGAGAAATTTGACAACTTGGGCAAAATTTTATTAACTTGGGAAGAAAT